TTTCAAGAAGAACCCTGGGATTTTTAATGACCACAGAGACCTTGGTTTTACGTTTCATACAAAGGACAGCGCCTGTTTACAGAGGCATTAGGACCCACATGGACCGCAGGGTGAGCGCCCCCTGCTGGACCCACTAACACCTCTTCCAGCAACAACCTTAGTTCTTCCCAGGAGGTCTCTCATCCAGGTACTGACCAGGCTCACACCTGCTGAGCTTCAGTGGGCTGCCAGTTGTGAGTTCCAGGGTGATATAGCTGCTGGTACCTGATGATACATCTGGGTATTTAGGATATAACATACAGTAAGCAGAGAGGGAGTGGTATCTTCACCAACAGCCCAGGCTGGTTTATTATGATTATTTGCATACACAACCAAGATAACACCATAACATAAACATCATTAATCTAATTTAAGCTTGTGAACTAGGCCTGAATGGAAACTCAAACCACAGAGTAGCCTTCTGGGTAAAACAAAATTGACTGAAAGGTTGTTTGTATGTGTTGTGGTTTAATCAGAAAGCAGAATACGAGGTAAGGCTAGTGAATAACTACTGTATGGTTGTTCTCAGAATTCATTTATCGTGCATGGTGTGATAACGGAACCTAATTCTAAATGGAAGTGCGCTTTCTTTTGTGTTTTGGAGTTTTGCACCCATTGACTTTGTTAAATCAAATAACAGATACGCACTCCATCAGGAGCATTTTTGTTTTTGAATGTTGGGAACAAGACAATTGTTTTGTTTACTATTATTAACATTACTGAGTCACATTTCTATTAAAACTTGACATGCCAACAAAACTTTAAAGTCATCTAATAGACTTGTGAAGAAAAGTCACATTGTCTCTGTGCTTTTTCATTGTATTCGTTCAAAATGTGTTGTGAAATTTCGAAGGAAAATGCTAATAATATTATTCCTCCACTGCTAATACGATTGCAATTCAATACATCTGTACAGAGTCCCATGCTTGGCAAGACAAGCAATGGCTTTCTATTTTGAACTTCAATATAAACTATTGTGCTGTTCTTTGCGTAGACGCTCTTTGTGAAAGTGATATTTAAGTAACAGAAATGTGGCAAAGCTAAAGGATGTCCAATTTGTGGAGTGCTGTTAACACAACTGAGACATTCCTTGCCCTGCCTTTTACATCTGTTTTCACTTCAGTTTTAGCAGATCCTAATTGTGGTATAACATTTCAAGATAAATGCCATTTATACAGCACCCATAGAGCAGTTGGGGATACAGGGCCCAACAGAGTAGGATTCCTCTGCCAGCTGTGGGAATTGAACCAGCAACCTTCTAGCCACCAGTGCAGATCCTAAGCCACAGAGCCACCCAAACAAACTATATTATATATAAAACACCACCCGGGATTTAACCCGGTCTGACAGCATCATTCAACAGGGAACCAGCTGGCTGAGCTAAAGGAGACCTCAGCTTCTTTCAAATGGGTCATGAAAGACATTCTGACATTTTATTCAAGAACCACTGAACAGAATCTTAGGATCAATTAATGAGTTGATTAATTAGGCAAACAAAGCAAGGTTGATTATCATATTATAGCCTAGGAACAAGTAATAGGTTTATTCCATGCTGAAAAAAAAAAGAAAGAAAACACAACGTTTCTGCCGTGGAGCCTTCTTCAGGTGTGAGAGAGACAAGGCAGTAGGCAAAGGTAATATAGCGGGAGAACAAAGGCTGGGAGAGAGGAGGAGTGAGAGGCGGGAGCAGGGGACAGAAAGAGAGGCCAATCAAGAGGTGTGAAGTCAGAATAGGTGTAGAGAGGTGTGAAATGAAATTTCCAACGAATGGAGAAAATTTAGAAGAAGAGTAGTCTGTTGTTAAGAGAAGGGGGAAGGTGTGTTCCTAGCTGCAGGATAATTTTGGTTTCGGTAGTCTTTCTGATGTATGAGTTCTTTGAGAAAAACCGTCTTTGAGAACACAGATGGAGAGATTAGAATGGTCATGGCCGTCAGAGGTGAAATGAGAAACATTATAGCCTATTCTCATTGCACCCGTTCATATGGTCATTTGTTCACCCTTTCATATGTTCCAAGATAACTTTAGAATGAAACTGCTCTGATCAGTGTGACCTCTGCTTCTCTGACCTCTGATTCATTTACTGTGTGCAATGTGTAATTTTGGTTTCAATTACTGTGTTTTGTTAGCTGTGGCTGTAGGTGGTTGGGTGTGATGTTATTATATATTCTCCATTCTTCAATTCAAGAAAAATTTGGCACATGATTTCCTCTCTTCAATGGCACCCACAATCTCACTCAGCTTTGGATTTTGCCATTAGGATTGCCTTGTCTAAGAACATTTTGGCATATTGTACAGTATATATTTGATGTACAGTGGTGTGAAAAAGTGTTTGTCCCCTTCCTGATTTCTTATATTTTTGCATGTTTGTCACACTGAAATGTTTCAGATCATCAAACAAATTGAAATATTAGACAATATTAGAGCCCTGTGTGAAAAAGTGATTGCCCCCCCCTGTTAAAACATAAATCAACTGTGGTTTATCACATCTTTGGAAAGCTGAGTTCAATTTCTCTAGCCACACCCAGGCCTGATTACTGCCACACCTGTTCTCAATCAAGAAATCACTTAAATAGGACCTGCCTGACAAAGTGAAGTAGACCAAAAGATCCTCAAAAGCTAGACATCATGCTGCGATCCAAAGAAATTCAGGAACAAATGAGAAACAGTGTAATTGAGATTTATCAGTCTGGAAAAGGTTATAAAGCCATTTCTAAAGCTTTGGGACTCCAGCGAACCACAGTGAGAGCCATTATCCACAAATGGCGAAAACATGGAACAGTGGTGAACCTTCCCAGGAGTGGCCGGCCGACCAAAATTACCCCAAGAGCGCAGTGACGACTCATCCAAGAGGTCACAAAAAACCCCACAACAACATCCAAAGAACTGCAGGCTTCACTTGCCTCAGTTAAGGTCAGTGTTCATGACTCCACCATAAGAAAGAGACTGGGCAAAAATGGCCTGCATGGCAGAGTTCCAAGACGAAAACCACTGCTGAGCAAAAAGAACATAAAGACTCGTCTCAGTTTTGCCAGAAAACATCCTGATGATCCCCGAGACTTTTGGGAAAATACTCTGTGGACTGACGAGACAAAAGTTGAACTTTTGGAAGGTGTGTGTCCCATTACATCTGGTGTAAAAGTAACACAGCATTTCAGAAAAGGAACATCATACCAATAGTAAAATATGGTGGTGGTAGTGTGATGGTCTGGGGCTGTTTTACTGCTTCAGGACCTGGAAGACTTGCTGTGGTAAATGGAACCATGAATTCTGCTGTCTACCAAAAACTCCTGAAGGAGAATGTCTGGCCATCTGTTCGTGACCTCAAGCTGAAGCGCACTTGGGTTCTGCAGCAGGACAATGATCCAAAACACACCAGCAAGTCCACCTCTGAATGGCTTAAGAAAAACAAAATGAAGACTTTGGAGTGGCCTAGTCAAAGTCCTGACCTGAATCCGATTGAGATGTTGTGGCATGACCTTAAAAAAGCGGTTAAGGCTCGAAAACCCTCCAATGTGGCTGAATTACAACAATTCTGCAAAGATGAGTGGGCCAAAATTCCTCCACAGCGCTGTAAAAGACTCATTGCCATTTATCGCAAACGCTTGATTGAAGTTGTTGCTTCTAAGGGTGGCCCAACCAGTTATTAGGTTTAGGGGGCAATCACTTTTTCACACAGGGCCATGTAGGTTTGGATTTTTTTTGTTCCCTTAATAATAAAAACCTTCATTTAAAAACTACATTTTGTGTTTACTTGTGTTATCTTTGTCTAATATTTCAATTTGTTTGATGATCTGAAACATTTCAGTGTGACAAACATGCAAAAAAAAAAGAAATCAGGAAGGGGGCAAACACTTTTTCACACCACTGTATGTATTTTCTTCCTTTTATGTGATTAACCTGTGTTCAAGAGTCTGATAATAATTTTCAACATTATTTGGCATTAAAATCTTTACACACACGACTCTTCTGGATTTTCCAGGCATTCAAGTGTTTTTAATTCGGAAAGTACCTTCTGTGTTTTTCTCATTGGCAAATTAAATAACTTTCATTAACTCATGGGGGATGTCTCCATCTAGTGTCTGAAGATAGAGACGACACGTATACTTCTGCCAAGGCTGGGGGAATTATTATTTTTTCTTCCAATTCAGGATCGCAGGGGAGCTTGAGCAAGGCAGGGCAAACCCTGGATGGGACGCCAGTCCATCACAGGGCACAAATACAAATACAAACACATGCGTGCTCTAAAAATGATGTGACACCATTACATTTAAAAATCGTAAAAGTCTTTCTGATGTATGAGTTCAGAAAACCTGTTTTGAGAACACAGAAGGAGAGATTAGAGTGGTCATGGCCGTCAGAGGTGAAGACGGTTTTCTGAAGTCATCCATCAGAAAGACTACAGAAACCAAAATTATCCTGCAGCTAGGATCACACCTTCCCCCTTCTCTTAACGACAGACTACTTTTCTTCTAAATTCTCTCTATTCATTGAAGATTTTATTTCACACCACTCTTCACTATCCTGACTTCACACCTCCTGATTGTCCTCTTTCTGTCTCCTGCTCCCGCCCCTCGCTCCTCCTCTCTCCCAGCTTTTGTTCTCCCGCTACATTACCTTTGCTTACTATCCAGTCTTTCTCACACCTGAAGACCCTAGCTCCACAGCCGAAACGTTGTGCTTTCTTTCTTCTCTTTTCAGTATGGAATAAACCTATTACTTGTTCCATTAATATTTATTAACCACACATTCAAAGCAGAAAACAAAACGTAAAGTTGTCCATAGCTTATTATCTGAAAGAAAACTGAAAAGTCATGATTGCATACAGTAAATAGCTGATTAGGTTTGAAAAAATAATAATAGGACTCTGAGAAGAGTGTGTTTCATCCAGTTAGACTTTATTTATCTTTTTCCTGAAACAACACTGCCTTCCTCATTTTGTTGTATTTTTTTTTTCTTTCAGAAATCTCATCAAACGATTGAGGCATCATTAAATGCATGAGCTTGGCCTGCATCATGACTAATGCCATGCCCATCAACAGAACATCCTCCATCTCTGACGACACCCTGGAGATGATCACTAGCCCATACCTCACAGTGGTCTTGCCTGTCATTTATCTGCTGGTCTTCATCATCAGCACACCCTGCAACGTCATCTCACTCTGGCTGCTTTGCTTCCACACCAAATGTAACAACCCAATGATAATATTCGCCATCAACCTTTCTTTGACAGATCTTTTGTACAGTATCTTTCTTCCCTTCCAAATTATCTACCACCTTAAAGGCAATGACTGGCCATTTGGGAATGTCATGTGTAGTGTATCCACTGCTGCTTTCTATGGGAATATGAATTGCTCGATTTTGACTTCCTGTGCAATCAGTCTGGAACGCTACTGTGGGATTGTAAAGCCCCTGCGCACCAAACACTGGAGGACCGCAAGAAAAGCTTCCATTGTGTGTATTTTAATATGGATGTTTGTCCTAACATTACACATCCCTATACTATCTCATGATCTGACATTTCCTGTCAACCAGTTAAACATCACAACGTGTTTTGATATCCTCCCTAAAACTTTGTTCCCTCAAAAAATATTTGGCTATCTGTATTTTGGCGCAGTATTTCTTTTCTTTTTCTTCCTGCCATTGATTATTTTCATAATTTGCTACTCCTCCATCATTAAAACGCTCATAAGTTCCCAGGATATTGACACCAAGCAATCCAAGGAGAAAACATTGTACCTTATTGTGGTTTTGGTTCTTTGCTTCATTGCCTGTTACTTGCCCAACATGTTCCTTCAAGTCCTTCACATGATTTACAAATATAAGGGCCAAAGCTTGTACATCTATTACAAACTGACACTAGGCATCAACAGCCTGAACTGCTGCTTCGATCCCTTTGTGTACTACTTTGCTTCCAGGGAATTCCGAGGGAAGCTACAACAAAAACTCTGCTGCAAGTTCAATGGGCCCGAAGAACAAACCACATCCAATTTGTCAGACCAAGCAAGTGCCCCATTAACGAGCCATAAAACTGCCAACAAAACGTCTTTGTGAAAAAAAAACGGGCATTCAAAGATTTATTATATGTTATTTATTCGACAAAACCAACAAGCTGTGGCAAAATAAACCCCTGAACAGTGAGCAGATTGCAATCCTTTCCATGAGAAAGAGGCAGAGTAACAAGTTTGTGCTATTCAGGTCCCTCCCTGTCTTAGCATGAAGAATTTGGGACTAAGTGGGACTGGACTCTCCTTTCCTTGTCATGCCAAAGGATCCCCAAGTGCTTTATGTGTTCAAGAGGACCCACATGAATAGCACCCAAATGGGTGACACAGAGCAACCAACATATGTTAAATAGGTGGCACCAGAATTTGCAGACCAATGTACCATTGTGAGTAACCAGAAACACCCTGCTATGGCAGCTACTGTCTTCTGGATGGGACAATCAGCCAAGCTCCTGACCTCTTGGTCAATAAAGATCCGAAGGCACCTTTTGTAAGAGTAGGGGTGTTGTTCTGTCTATATTTTGCCTTGGGTTTTCATTGTCTAAACTTGCCCTTTAACTTGATCAAGTGTGTCACTTCCTTACTACAGCATGTAAAGCAGTTTGCGAATTTTTCGGGGAAACCACTTTTCAAATGCAAAATGTATTATTATCCATCCAAACCATCTATCCATTTTTACTAACCATTTAGTCCTATGAAGAAGATTATTTTGATCATATCCAGTTCATTGATTAAGGTGTTGCTGTATTTCAGTCCTGCTTTGCCTTTAATACCGACTAGTGATGCTTTACTGTATGAGAACAGAGTACTAATTTAGTATAGATTATCTGAGGGGTGGTCAGCATTGGCATTTTAATTCCAAAGCCATTCTATACTATATTTGGAAATTGAACTTTCCAGAAAATGTGTTATTGAACGGCTTATTAGCTGCTTAGCTGCAATGGAGTAGAAATGATACAAGGGTGAGTAACACTGGAAAGACAGAGGAAGGAAGCAACCAAATGTTTGTGTGTCTGGCTTGCTTAGTAAAGTAAGAAACTACACTCAAATTGAAAATGAAGCCATAGGAACTGTTTGATTTGGTGCAAATCAACAGTTATCTATATGGCAGAAAGTTCAAACTGGTAAAAGATCAGAGACATTCAGTAGGGTGTTGAATCAGAGATATTTCCTTTGGCGGCACAGTACAGACATGCTGTTAGTAGCATATGAGTACACAATGTAATACTGATCCAGACAGTTGCTGCAGTGTTGAACAAGGCTAAAGATTTGGCACCAAGGCAATGGGCCTTCTGATCACTGGGTTGATGATAAACTGCAACCTTACAGACAGATGGAAATATCTGTCTGAAAATGAATATTTGTTATAGTATCTGAGAGAGATATCCATTGAGAGCTACAGTTTATACTACTTACTGAACAACACGAGGAGTATTTAGATATTAGGAAAATAAAAGCTATAGCTCCCAGTCATTGTTTGCAGCCAGGTCTGGTAAAGAAAAGTGAAGCTGTGATCAGTAGTGAGATTTGTATAACAAATTTGAATTTGACAGAGAAATCATTACTGCATATCTGAAGATATCTGGGCAAAAATCTGTAGCTGTGCATTCACACTGATTTCTGTGAAAAGGGAGGACTTTGATATTTGCTTAGTGGGGATTGTGCTGGTCGAGAGTGGTTCCAAGAAGGAATGTGACAGTAGAGAAAACTATTGGAGTGCTGCAGAACTTGTTCATTTGGGTTAGTAAAGCTTGTATCAGACAACAGACAATGGCATGGCTATCAGTTTACCTAAGGAGAATCTGGGGAATTTTTTAAGCTTATACTCAGATACACAAAATAAACTCTGTATCAGCACAAATTGATGTGTGCTGCAGAGATTTGCATTAAAAAAAACTTTTAACAAGTGCTTTGAACAAGGGAAAAGGATCTTCATGCACTTCAGCCCTCCAGGTGGCTGGGTTTCTGTTCAGATAAAGCCAGACAGATGTGTGCTGCATAGTTCTTTTCAAGGCACGACATCTTGAGCAAGACGAGAGAAAAAAAACAAATTTAGACTGAGTCACCAAAATCATGGAGGATGTTTTGACACCAGCAGAAGATACTTGTAAGATACAGGAGAGGGAAGAGAGATAAATGGGTGCTAGACATAGTTATGAAATGATGAGTTCCTGTTACCTTCTGAGAGTTATGAGAAAGTGATCAAATGATGTATAAACCAGCCACTAGCAATTGATGCAGAGGGATTAGATGATATAGGTTCTGACCTAAATTCTAGTACTACTAAGTAGACTAATAAGGAACATGATGCCAGCCACAATGTGGAAGATGAAGAGCAGTTGCAGGTAGACAACAGCTATGAAGAAAACCTCTAGAAAGTCTGTGAACATCATACACATGGCCAAAAAAAGAAACTGAAAGTCTGGCTGAAGATAGGCCAAAAATATAAATGATTTAAAAAAGGTGTTTAAAAGAACAATGGAAGAGTCAGAGCTTCAAATTCGTAACCTACACATGGATTGCTTAGATATTGTAATACTAATAACTATAGCTGTAGGGCATTATGTTCCAGGAACATAGTGATCACATCCCTGATTGCATAAAAAGGCGCTACTTGCCTTGAGCCTTTGATTTTGGTAAAACACCATCAGATCTAAAAGGTATAAATACCTTTAACCAAAGGCAGAATACTCTATCCCTCTCACTGATGTGTTTTTTCACACAAGATGTATGTTATTTAACTTGATGATATTGCTGACGCTGTTCTGTGTTTATGTTTTTGGCATTTCCTTAATGCCCCTGTATTAGGGCATACATGCAAATAAGTATTTCATTGCACTTGTGCATATGACAACAAACTGAACCGAACTGAATAGTGGAATTGAGAGATTGTAAGCATCAGGCGCTCTGCTACTGTAGAGGTTTCTCTGTTTGTCATGAGTGCATAATAAAAATGTGTTCTTTTCAAAACAGTCTCTGCTTGTCCTCTGTTTAGCAACCAGAGATGCACGTGAATTCTTTGCTCTCTGTTACAGGTTTGTTGAGAGGAATAGTAATTCAGGCACACTTGATTAAACAAATATTTATTGCAATTACACAAGACACAAACTACACTACACACAACGAAACATACAACACGCAAGTTACTCTATGTACATTATTTACAAACAAGGCATTTCAGAGGCCTAACATTCTGGTCACCCAGAAAATCCCAGACTGCTACTAAGCACTAAACTCTTAATATCCCTACAGAGGCCAAATAAGAGATGAGCTGCTTTCTAACTAAATGCAATGCAACCCGCAGTTAAATCTCTATCTCTCTGCCCCCCGGATGCCATAATATAAATGGGAGCCTATATCCTTATCCATAAAATTGCACCCTAAGCAGGAAAGATGTTTCTAACTGACGTATCTTTTACCCAGGAAACCCAAATTCCCTAAAAACACAGAATAGCACGTTCTCTAACAAGGTTCAAATACTTAGCTCCAGTCAGGTTTGGTTTGGGTGATGATGAAGTCGGGGCTCTCACGATGGCTCAAGCTTCAAGCCCCAACTCCAGCGGACTCCTGTCTCTCCTCTCCTTCTTCCCTGCTTCTTGTTTCTTTCTCCTTCTTGTTTTTTTTTTTCTTCCTTGCTCTTAATTTGGTTTTACATTGTGTGTCTGTACTGCTCTTTGACAATCAGTAACCCACATCTTGCCTAGGTATGCTAAGGTAAACTTCACAATTATTTCTGCTCAAGGCACCCCACCCCCCCCAGATTTCTGCAAACATCCTCTCTCCTTTGAAGCTAGAAATGTTCTTCCAGGTGTCACAAACCTTATCTAAAAGTTCTCCTCGTGTTTGTATGGATTTCCCCCCACAATCCAAAAACATAGGGGCAGGCTAAATTAGCTTCTGAGAAAACTGGTCCTAGTGTGTGTGTCTTTATGACTGTCTTGAGAAGGACTGGTGTCCGATTCAGCGCGTATCCCAATTTTGCCCCCTTGGCTTCCTGGGATAGGCTCCGACTCTCCCACAAACCCGAATTGGAAGAAGCAGTTAGAAAATGGAGGGATGTGAACTTTCTTATTATTACTCAATGTTAATATTAGATGATGTGTAATAAAAAATAACTTAAAAATAAATCTAAATCTGTAAATATTTGGTAAATCTCATACAAAGTGGTTCTAAAAATGCAGACATTTTAAAAATTAATTTATCTAATTTATGATGGATAGGTGTGAACCATAATTCAGTAAGCTCTTACTTGCTTACAGTGTGATACATCATCACTCATGTCAGATTCTTAGCTAAATTTAGATCAAATTAATATGATGTATTCTGAGAGAGTACATGGGAGTAATGAGACACTTCTGAGTTTAAAGTAGTTTCTGTATGTTTTAAATACTCTTTGAGTTAAAAAGGATATTAGGCTTACATATTTGTTGTTACCCCTGGTATGTGGCATGTGGCTTTAGCCCTAGGACACTACCTTTATGTATCATAAAGTAATTTAGCATCAGTAGTACTTTTAAATAAAATATATCTGTATAGCATAGTTGAACAAATCTAATCACAAATCATTTCAATTCATAGGCTTAACTGAATCACTTAACTGTCATTTTGGAAGAATTTTCACATAACTGGGGAGGTGGCAGATAGCTTTGTAATGATCTGAGTCAGGTCTCAACTGATGTCTCATTTTATCACCACACAGGAATAGAGTGGATTTTACCCCACATTGCTAATCTGGACTGGCACAAACAGGGCTAACCATTTGTCATATCACAGATATCTGAGTGCACCATCAGTTTAAAGCAGGGTGGCAACAGGATTTAGCACTCCAGAGCACTGTTCTGTCGGCCTGTGGGTTCTAATTTTAGGTGAGGAGCTGCTGTCACACTCTTGAGTAAGGTCTTCACACAAAAGAACCCAAGGAAACGCCTTGCTGAAAAACCACATCTCTAGGTCGTCTGTAATTAAGAATTTGTTCCCAGTTAGCAAAATATTTTCTTTTTGCTGCAGACTTCATATATTGATAGTGTTTAACAGCAGATTAAAAACCCTTGAATGTGAAACCCATTATCTTGCTGAAACAGTTTGAGTTTTCCTTTACACTTGAGGACCCATCAAACAGATTTCCATTCATTTAAGTGTTGCAGTTAGTGTATTACCTGTAAGGTAATAGCTGCTGAATGTCAGTTCCTTTTACTACCTAAGACCTGCTCCTCTCCGTCAGCTTCTCTTTATGTTGTTGTGATGAACTGGTTGTGGATATTATTTAGAAGAAGCCAAATAACCAAGTCAAGAAATAAAAAAGAAACGATCCTTCTGGGCTGCAGTTCCACTTACTGGGGAGATTGTAATAAAGTGCAGCTAACATTCAAATCATCAGTATTTGTCATCTGTCTATACACTATGTCATTGATTCCAAGAATAAGATTAGACCTGTGAGATCTAATCCTTTTGTGAACTATTAATAAGCAACTTGAAATGCTGGGTCCCAGAATTCACAAAACATATCCCCAGAGTTTCTTGAGATACAGTGCTACTCAAATACCCCTAATACATTCTAAAACTTTAATTTTGCAGAAAGAGTTCTAGAGTTTACCACAAGCTGCTCCCCTCAGCTTGGGAATTCTTGGAATTAAATACAGTTTAAGACTGGCTTGCACATAACAATCAAAACAGAAACCACCCAGCATGAATAAGAACACTTACAGTTTGATATGAAGTGAAAATAATAACAGGAAACAGCAGATGTAAAGAAATGTCCCAATGTGGAAAAAAGCAGAACAGTTTAGTAGGACATGGTGTAATTTATTTCTTTGTTGTTAATTTTTTTTCTTCACATTTTACAAATGGCATAATAATTTTATTTAAGAGTGCCTTTCAGGAAACTCTACTCTAAGTACAGCACACTAATTGACCCAGTTTCCACTACGGAAAGATGTTGTGGTAGATTGTATTATTTAATTTTTCTGACAGATCAGGGGTTTCGTACAATGTCACTGCAAGGGCAGAAACAGGGGAAAACGGGGAAAAGGCAGGAAGATAGGAAAGAAGCTGGGACAAAAGACCTGCTGAGCTATACGTGTACAATGGTAACACATTAAGTCAGTGGCACGGGTTGGGAGCAGTCTCCTCTCTGAACTTTCACTTCTAAACTTCTTTTAAAATATCCAACCACGATCACGAGGATCCTACTTTCTATATAGCAACTTTCCTTACACAATCTTCCTGGGAGGTTGCGGACAGACCAGCAAGCAAGCAGCGGAACACTAATTAAATGTCATTTAAAGTGAGGGTACAGTTCCATGTGATGCAGAAAGATATCCATCACTGGTTGCAAGACCCACAATTCCTGTTTTGCAATTCACCCATGTAAGGGATATTTGATAACCCTGAAGACCACAGTATAGACAACAGACAAAAAACTGTCTCAGTTCATTTTACATCCTGTTTGCCTTTTTTTTACAGTAAAGAATAGTGGACAGAAACACAGTTGAATATGGTAATATTCAGTGGCTTCTGTGGCCAGTGGATATTCCTAGGAAGAAAGTATCAGCCTTAGTTCTAACTAAACTGACAGAGGGTTTAGCGATTAGGATTTCTTTCTGTAGCAACTCAGAAATGATGAAAGAAAGATTACTCAAATATCATGTGAGTACATGAAAACTACAGGGCCCACATTGAAAACTGAGAAAAGGACATCCTTCTTTACTTAAAGGGGTTACAGTAGTACCAAACAAGCTACAGAATCACGTCGATGAAGCCAATACCCTGGCTTCCTTCAATAAATTGCTTGATGAGATTTTTAGTTCAGTAAGCATTTAACTACAAAATGAGCTAAACAGGCTAAATGGCCACCTCTTACGTGTTACCCTTCTTACCCATCTAAACATAGCTATACTAGATATTGCATTAAATCTCTGTCGCCCTTGATAGGAAAAAAATATCCCAAAAAGAGATGTTGATTTGGACTGTGACAGAAAGTCAGGATAGTGGGCCTCCCTTTTGCCTCCTCGTGTCAAAATTAGAAGACAATTCAGGATTTTTGTAAAGATAATAATCTTTAAAGAGGCCGTAGAATTCACTTCTCCTTGGGAAAAGCGAAGATGGAATCTGAATCATTTTGTTCCTTGGACTGCAAGATCTTACCCTCATAACGTAAAATCCATCTGTTTTCTAGCCACTTTATCCAATACAGGGTCATGGGAGAGCCAGAGCCTGTAACAGCAAGCAATGAGAGCAAGGCAGGATATACCCTGGAGGGGATGCCAGTCCATCACAGGGCAGGCACATGGACACAAACACACACCAGGGACAATTTCCCCAGAAGTCAATTTAACCCACCACCATGTCTTTGGACTGTAGGAAACCAGAGCACCCAGTGGAAACCCATGAGAACACAAGGAGAACATACAAACTCTACACAGATAGCACCCCGGGAATTGAACCCGGGGCCTCAGAGATACAAGGTAACAATGCTAACCACTGCACCACCATGTCTTCCTCTTTTAATATGTAACCAATAAAAAGATTCTTAAAAATATACTAAAGAGTTGGACAACTTTGATTTACTGAGGAATCTTTCCTGCACTGTGCAGAGGTGATGAACTGGAAATACTAATCCCGAACCAAGAATATTGCAACATAATCAAAAGCACCAGGAACTAACGTTTGCCTTTTGATAATACAGTAGATGTGTCTTAAAATGCAACTAACAAAGAACTCTCTGCAACAATTACCTCATTAGTTTGAACAATAAGTAAGGGGGAGGCAATTTACCACAAAACCAACCCAAAGCCCTTGGAAACACGTGACTCCAACTGTGATATTTACAGGTACTGCAAAACAAGACAAGAATAAACAATATATTTAGCAATTTACACGGTGTTTGCTGATTATAGTATTTTCAGTTCTGCAAATCTGTACAGTTGTCATTAACATTGAAATTAACAGTTCTTAACAAGTAAATTGCTCAA